CATCTTTGGAGGATTACCAGCTACAGAAACTTTATTAAAATAGCCTATTTGTTATATATGTGTTTTTAGTTGTCCATATCAACTTTAATATAAATCTGGAAGCATTGTCTATGTAACTCCAATACAGCCATAGCAATAACCTCATTATTGAAATAAATAGTACCAGCCTATTTGTATTTGATGGAAAGAGTAACAAAATATTCCTAGTAATGATAGATTCAGTCTTAGAACTTTATTTAGGGATTCTACCTTCCATATGAAATATTTACATCAACATTGATCACCCTCACAATTTACTCTTAGAGAGGAATGTCCAGGGACAGGGGGGTTCAGAAGCTAACGGGATGTGAGTTGATTCTGATTCATTTTCCTCTTTCAAAACTATACACTGTTCATTACCTAATTCCATTGCATCACTGTAAGAGCAGTCTTTTTGAATTTAGGTCATTCTGTTGGTTGTCCTATGTTGTTTACCACTGAAGACAAGGAATTTGAATCATCAGAGCTGAAACTTGCCAGTTTTCTATTTTTTAAGAGGAAGATATTTTTAGTGCTTAAAAAATCTCAAATGAATAGATTTCTATAGTTTTTTTTCAGAACTAAGAACAGCTGCATCACTTTATTGAAAATTGGCTCCAAACAACAAAAAATCTGTTCCAAGCTGGGATACTTTTATGCCAGATTTCACTCGGGAGTGAATTTTTATGAGTTTTTAGCTCCTGCCATTTATAATGGAAATGTTGACCAATCCATAGCGATTACAGAGCAACCAGTATTATTATAATATTTCAAAGGGAAGAAGTCAATTTTGTTGCTGACACAATATTTTGAGTTGTTCCTTAGGTTCTTTAATACGGTTATTTTACTCTGCTCAGGTAAAATTCTGTCACAAGCACCTTAAAGCCCAAAGTTTGAAGCAGGCCCTAAAATTTCTTAAAATTTGAATGTTGACTATAAACAAAATTCTGCATGTGAATGTTTGAAAGTTTTAGATGCAGACAATTAGTAGGCATAATTTTTTAGACAGGATTAAAATGTTCAAATATGCAGTGATGAGAGCTATAAACAAGCCATCATTTGACCATTTTTTTTCTGCTTTAAACATTGGAGTTCAGAACTGGAGTACAGGAGCATTAACAGCATGCATGTGTATACTAGAACGGAATGTAAAAAATACTACAAGCATTTATAATTATTTCTCCCTGATCAGGCATTTACCTCATAGATGCTTTTTTCTCTCCCCCTCTCATATGTATGTCAGTGCATAGAGCATGATGTCAGTGGAAAATCTACTAACTTTAAATGTTTTAGACTAGTAGTTCTTAACCTTTGGAGATTCAAGGCACCTTTCTGTAACTTTTAGAATTTAGTAACACCCTATTTCAAAAACTAATATAAACATAGTATAAATTTCATATTTACCCAAATCCAAGATTACTTTTGAATTTAAGATAACCCTCCAATAATAATGGATTCTGTATATGGAGTTATAATTTTCTATGTATATAATCTAATTATTGGAGGGTTATTTTAAATTAATTACCCCCACTACTGCAGTGGGAAAAGCAGCAGCAGGGGGCCATGCAGTAGAGGGGGAAGGCAGCTGTGGGAGGACAAGCAGCCCCCTTGATTCCTGTCTCCCCACCACTCATCCCCGCTGCAGACTGACCCCCTGTAGTTCCTGTGTCCCAGTCACCTGCACCTCCTGCCTGCCCACCCCCCCCGCCTCTGCCCCTACACCTACTCCCCACAGCCTCTGCTCTCCTTCAGATTCTGTCCCGTCAAGAGAGACATGCCCAGGGGTGTCCAAACAGAAAACATATCCCCCAAGGGCTGCCTAGCTGGCAGGGACAAGGTTCTGGGCTGCACACACAGCTTCCCAAATGGTGCAGGGGGGGTGCTGAGGGGCATCAGAAGGGCAAGGAATTGGGCAACAGGGCACACAAGACCTGGAAGGAGGGACAGGCCAAGGAGCATCTGTTGGGGTTGTCATATTGGAGAGCAGAGATCAAGCCTGTGGGGGAGGACCTGGTTGGCAATCCCCAACTTATTTAGAACCAGCCACTGAGTGGTAGCCCTGAACGAGATAATGCAGAGCTGGTTGACTGTATCCTTTAGGATCTGTAGCTGACCAAGCAGGGCTGGATTGGGCAGCTTTGCTCATGGAGATCTAGGTAGTGGCAGCAGCCCACAGAGCAAAGTGAGCGAGCCTGTGCAACCATCCTGTCACATAGAGCCAGATACATAGACACCCATCATGATCCAATTTAACTGGGTCCATACTCAAAACAGAACAGGGAAGGATAAGCACCTTAAAAGGACAATTTGCAAAGCTGGAGATACGTACAGGGAGAAATATGAAATGCTAAGTGCAGAGATGTGTCTGAACTTCTACCACCTATCAAGAAGTGCTTAGGCACCTGACTCAGACTGCACATTAGTCAGTCTTTCATTTGTGAGTCTCAATGCCTAATCCCTAACTGACCAGCAGCGTTGGCATACATCTTTTATTCAATGAACCAGTGGTTAGAGCACAAATTCCTTGTTAGAGCATTCATTTGAGAAGTAGAAGCAGTTTTCAAATCATTAGGGTTGAATGAGATACATTGTAGAGTACTCAAGAAATTGGCTGAAATAATTTCAGAGCTAGTTACTATAATCTTTGAAAAAACGTGGAAGTCAGGTGAGGTCCTGTGTAACTGGAAAAGGGCAAGTATAATACCCATTTTTAAGAAAGAGAAGAAGAACCCAGAGATTTACACACCAGTCAGTCTGACTTCCAGAAAGATCATGGAGCAGGTCACCGAAGAATCTATTTCTAAGCACCCAAGTGGGATTTTCTCTTGACAGATGTGTCAAGAGCAAATCATGCCTGACTAACCCAATTTCTTTCTGTGAGAAGGACAAGGCCTCTGTGAATGGGACAATACCTTAAATACATTGATCTTAGCAAGACTGTTTCCCATGACATTCTTATTAGTAAGCTAAGGGAATACAAAATACAAGAAAATACTCTAAAGTGGATATATAATTGGTTGGAGCATCATGCTCAAAGAGTAGTCACCATTGGCTCAATGTCAGATTGGGAGGAAGTATCAAATGGATTTCCCCAGGTGTCTATCCCAGGTCCTCTACTATTCAGCATCTTCATTGATAGTTTGGAGGGCTGTCCAATTGGTGACCTGAAGGCTGCATGCAGCCTGCAAGGGGTTAAATTGTAGCTCTGCCCCGCCCCGGCCATCACTCCCCCTATTGCTCTGGCTACAGAAGCAGCTGGGGTCTCTGGGCTCCTTCTTCCTTTGGTTTACGCTTTCCCACCCCAGAGGGTGAGGCAGTTCAGTGTGGCACAGCCTGCAGTGCTAGGGGAGCCTGTGGCAAGGGGCAATGCAGCAACTCCTGGCCTAGAGTATATTTGATTTGATATGACATTTTTAAGTAGACAGTAGCTGTTTAGGTTAGGGGCAAGCAACTTGTATAAGCCATGGGCCAGCATAACCTAGCCATGTGCCTACACTAAGGCCAGATGCTGCTGTTGCTTCTTTCAGCCTTCTTCTCTGCCTCCTCCTGCTCCTCAGCTGAGGCATGAGCATGGTTTCCAGCTGATGAGGAACTGACCTGGGGCTAGGCAACTGGAAGTTGATCCACACTGATATTACTTCTCCCTGCACCATGAGTGAAGCACGTGAACAATTGGAAGCTGCTCAGCCCTGGCTCAGTCCCCCACTAGATGGAAGCTGCTCCCACACTGCAGCTGGTGGGAGGGGGAATGGGGAGAAGTGACAGCAGTGTGGGCATGACTTCCAGCTGCCCAGCCCTAGTGCCACAACTCACTGCCCAGCCTCAGCATGGGTGTAGGCAGAGACAAAATCCTCTGGCTTGGTGGGCCAGACGTGGCCTGCAGGGCACATGTTGCCAACCCTTTGTTTAGACCATTTTTAGAGATTTTTGTGCCCTCCTGTGAACCTGTTTCAGGGGAACTCACAATAACTAAGGCACTTGGCTTTAGAGGCTGGTGGATGGCAGAGGTAGTCACTATACTGTTTTTCAAATCTTTCTAAAATATACCTAAATTAATATTTTCTGTAACGTGACATAGATGGTAGGAAGCAGTATTATGGTTTTATTAGCATTCGTTTGGACTACCCTGCACAACGGTCTGGGTTTTTCAATTTGTGAATCAGGTTCCGAATTCAGAATCCTAAAGCATTCATGCCATGCTACACTGTCATGTGTTATATATAGTTCACATGTGTTAGAGCTGCTGAGCAAAAAGTTCCCATTGGTTTACTTTTTTAGTCAAACTTTATTTAAGTCCTTAAAGTGTACAGTTTACACCTGTGGTTTGCAACCTTTTTAAACTTGAGGCAACCCTCTTTTGGCTCAAGGCACACCTCAATTAGTCTTGAGGCACCCCTGAGAAAATGCCCCCTTGTACTTTTAAGTCTTTTTTGACTACAGAAAAATAATAGAATAATTCTTCTGTTGCAAAGAACTCGGACCACAACAGGTCATAATGTTTTTAATTCTGTGGATTCCTAATTGAAGTCTCTGGGTTTATCTTGTGAATCGTGCTTGGACACTTTACAGTATTAATATTGCATGGCACCTCGTGCCACCTTTGAAAGGCTTTCAAGGCACTGAGGGAGCCATGGCACCCTGGTTGAGGATCACTGGTTTACACCCAGGTTTAATCTATAGACTTGCTATCTGTTGTTCACTGAACTGGTATTTACTAAGCTACTTAGCTTAGTAAATAATATACCATCGGAATGCTACTATAATTTATATTTTGGTACCTCCTTCATGTAACAGATTTAGGTTGCTTCCTTAACTGTTTGTTGCTGTTTGTTTTAAAGTTCACTATTATTTCTGCTATTGGTCCACATTCTTGTAGTACAGACCTTTTCAAAATTGTACATCTGCCACTGAATTAAAAAAACTATAGATATAGAACTGTATCTTCAGTGCATAATTTATAGTATCTTTTTTTTCTACCCTAGGAAAACAAGATTATAAGAAAACCAAACCAATGTTACGAGCAACAAGATTAAAAGCAGAGGCCAAGAAAACCGCAGTGGGCATAAAGGTAGATAGATGTCTTTTTTGAAAGCTTGCTCCAACTTTCTGTAGAAGTTGAATTTCTTTTCCCCTTAGATGTTCTGCATGATTATTGATTTGCAAGAGAGGTTGTATATGACACTTCAAACCTAAGCGGAATGCCAGAAACTGAAATATTTATGAAGATTGTTTTTACGTAACTCTCTTATGACTAAAATAACTGAAACTCTAAATGACTGTAAATAGTCCATGCCCTTGTTAGGCATCATGCTTGCATTTAAAGGTGCTATTAAAATATTGTATATTTAGAAGTAGGACTTTTTAAAATAGTTATTTTATACACAAAAGAAACAGTTTGAAGATGTTTACACTGTAAAAAAGGCCATAAGCTGCTTTTTTGCTCCTGCCAGTGGGTCCAGGAGTTGTTTAAAGTCATGATTGTTAGACTTGGTAAATTTCAATGCATGAGTTCCTTCTATTTATGCTACTTCCTTCTGCTGCACAGGTGGGCAAAATATAACTCATGGGCCAGATCTGACCTGTCAGTTCGTTCTGTCCTGCCCGCAGGGCCTCTAAAATTTTAGAAAATGTATATTTATCTGCTCCAGGCTGCTTGTCAAAGATGACAGGAGCCAGGGCAGTAGGACCTAGGGGAAACCAGCAGGACTCACCAGCAAGGCCAGCCCAGCCCTGCCCCACCCTAGCCCCCTCCTACCCCTGCCCCCTCATCCAGAAGTCTCTGCCTGCCTCAGCTTTCACTGCTTCCCTGCACGCTAGCCCACTACTCCAGCACTGCATTGCTCCTGGCTGCATCACCAGACCGCAGGAGCATGGGGGCCACGCTGGTACCCAAGAGCCAGGAGCGGGAGGGTGTGTGTGTGTGTGTGTGTGTGTGTGTGTGTGTGTGTGTGTGCGCGCGCGCGCGCGCATGCGCAGTGAGGAAGAGAGAGAGAGTGTGTTTGTGTGTATGTGTGAGCAGTGAGGGAGGGAGAGAGACAGTGTGTGCGTGTGTGTGTTCATAGGGCAAGTCCCACACACACACCCCACCATACACATGCACCCACATCCCCTTCTCACTGCCATGCACGCAGACCCCCACACCTACACCCCCACACACCTCAGCCACCCTCCCCCCACACACAGTCCCCCACAAACCCCATACCCCACATATCCACATGCACACACACATGCTCCCTCACCCCACACTCACACCCCCACACCCCACATACCCACACACTAATAGCCCTCCAGAAACCTATACCCATGTCCCCCACCCCCTCACAATATACAAGAGTAAGACTTCATTTTAAGTTATTGTGCAATCACCTCTATGTACACTACACAAACACATGTAAATCAGGACAAAAATATTTTTTGAAATCAAATTAATGAATGTTGTAGATGTTCGATTTTTAGAATATGATTTGGTATTTTTCTGGTTCTGAGATGGCAAAACCCCTTGCTGAAAGGAGTTTTTCCAGGGGTAAGGGGAGGGACTTCTAGTGGCAAAGGTTGGGGGTTAAGGGGTGGGACTTCTGGTCACAAGATGATGACCGGGGGCAGGGTACCTGATAAGGGGAGGAGCTACCAATGTGGCCCTCAACAGCTTGTCAGAACTTGGTAAGAGGCCCTCCATCCAAAATAATTGCCTGCCCCTGTTCTACTGTGTCTTCAGCATGGGAAATGACTGACTCTACTACCAACAAACCATCAAGGAAAGTTAATCCATTAGACTTCAAATAATTTTGAAAACTACCTACTTTGAAGTATGTGTAAAATATAATTATATTAAATAGTCATGACAGTAAATATTAATGCAAAGCACAAATACAACGTACTATACTATTAACTACCCAGCATACTATTATGATGGAATTTGGCTAACCATATACTGTTTATTTAAATTGTGTGCAATATTATTTCTCCAAATTTATTTTTGAATCAAAATAAATTAATATAAAATTAACTTGGCAGCTAGACTGAGAAAGATGCACAATAAAAATGGCTCAAAAACCTAGTTCTGCTTATGAAAGAAATTTCAGAAATGTTAAAAAGAGAACATTTTCTTGTTTCTGGCAGATGAGAAATCAATTTTTCAAGTTATAGCTTATAGCAAATGCCAAGGTATTACTACCAAGCTGTAACAGCTGTTGAGCTGCCAGATGATGTATTTGGTTGTCTTCCAGAATTTGCTATTATAATCACGAAACAGTGCTTTCTTTTTGCTCCTGATTGCTGATCTCGATCAAGCATTACCGTGCGATGCAGTATGTTTTCACAACATAATCTCCTCAGTTAGTGCTGTGTGTCAGTTTTTAATGAGAAAAAGTAGATTGCCTTTTTTGTTTAAAAGATCAGCTATTAACCTTTTGAGTTCTATGTTTTTCCCTTCTTGATAAATTTTACTCATTCAATGACACGACTATTTAAAAGTGATGCTCTATTTGGACATTTTATTATACATCCCATTTGGGAGGGGGTTATCTTTGTTTTATTAAATTTCTTTTAAAAGTAAATGTATTTTTACCTTTGTTTTTCTGTTTATTTCCTCATTCTTACTTGAGAAGGACACAGGAAAAATAAAGATACAGATACTCCTAAGAGCAGTAGGTGTCAAATGTTGATACCTATGGAAAACATATAATGTAGTATACATTGCTCCCTTCTGGGATTTACAATAATATGAGCACAGTATTCTCAAGATATGCCTTTGTGCCACCTGCCTTCCCATCCCCTCCCGTCCAAAATCAAAGTTTTACCAAATCATTTAGTAGTTCTGACTTTTTGTATATGCATGAATCTTAAACTCTGCTCTGAACCTCCATGCGCTGATTATAATCTCTCACCGTGTTCACTGGGCTGCTCAGAAATGCTGATAACAGGAACTGAGTGGGTAGGAAAGTTGGACATTTCCCTCTTCAGTGATATACTTGTTGAGGAAGGGACATGGCACCACCTGTGCCCTCTCTCTAACTTATCATTCTCCTACAAATGTCCTATTTGCCACAGGTTTTCTTGACTGTGGCTCCTGAACTAGGATGAGAGAAGGGGTCAAGATTGAACAGAATCACACTGGTCCTTGCCCAAAGTGCAACATTCCCTCTTTGCTAAAGCAAACGTATTTCTGTTCTGCACAGCAAACGGGAACAACTTGTGTCTAGCCTGCACCCAGACTGAGCCCACTCGATCAAACTGCCCCTAGCTTACTAAATGTTATAGTACTTTCATGAGATGGTTGACATTGCTATAAAATAAGACTCCTGTACACTGCTACTGACAAATTTACAGAACTCAGCAATGAAATGAGGCGTAGCTGAGGTCTTAAGGTACTATTGTACTTCTCATCTCACAGTGACAGCTCCTCTAAGGTGCTCCAGCTAATCCTTCATCCATTTATTTCAGCTATTCCTAGTGTAGTGAATGCAGCTGGAGCATATGTTTGTGTCTGAATTTGAACCCCTCCTTTGCTATCAAACACTGCTTGGGTACAAGGAAGGCTTCTATATCCCGGTCTCTCCTGGGGTGCCCTGTGCACATCCTTCATGCTGTTAAATCTCATAAGTTTTCCCTCTCTAAATACTATTTAGAAAGAATTCCTGTAGTCAGACTCTCATATACAAGCTGCGGAAGATATTCTTGCTTCATTCTTAACACATCTTTCAGATACTTCCATCTTTTTTGGATAACTTGGGAAATATGTGGTTATTGAACTCTCTGAGAGTTCTAAATAGCTCTGCAATGAAGTGTCACTTTCTACATATGTGCCACAGTAGATTAATTATCTGCACCCACTGGGCGCATCTACACATGCAATTAATGCAACTGAATAGACTCCAACACAGTCTGCTCGAGAGTTTCTTGCTCCTAGGCACCATGTTTACACAAGTGCCTGAGACTGCAGCACGTTGAGCTGGGTCATAGCAACCCTAGCTGGCAGTGGGGGCTCTGGGGGTCAGTGTAGCAGTCTGTGGCTTCTACAACCTGGCTCAACACAATGTGGAGGGGATAGCTGGGGCATGAAGGTGCTCCAGTGCAGGGATAGCCATCAGGCAGCTCTCACACTGAACCACCCTCATGCCCGAGCCAGCCCTGCTAGTGTCTACATGTGTTTCGGTGCACTAAATAATGCCACTATAGCATAGCACTTGTGTTGACAAGTAGTATCCTGCAGCAGCATTTATTAGTTTATTGTGGCCTAATAGGGCTGCTCCTGTAAATGCTGAGACTTTACTGCAGAGCTAATTATTCAGCTCCTCAGTAAATGCCTAGTGTGGAGATGCCCACCGTTACTTATTGTAGCAGTGCCCCTACTGAACCTAGCTATTGGCAGCTTCAGAGGCCAGAGTTAAGGTTACCTTCTGGGTAGGCACGTACTATAACTGTGCACTTCTAGGATTCACGATATCTGAACTCTTCATTATCTTATTTTCAGGGGGCCTGAGAATAGAAATCATGGAACAATAGTTTGGAAGAGATTTCAGGAGGTCATCTATTCCAGACCCCTGCTCAAGGCAGGATTATTCATGTCTAAACCATCCCAGACAATGTTTGTCAACTGAACTCTGTAAAATTCTGGTCTGCATGGTAGAAGACCTTGAGGAATCACTAGGCAACCTTACCTCTGCATTAATAAAGTTTTTTATTAGTGAATTGTTATCAGTAACAGTTTGTCTGTCTTAATAATAGGGTTCTATTTGTTGAAAATATGGGCCCGGCTTGCCATTGACTTCAATGAGGGTAGGATCAGTCCCATACTTTGTATTAAAAATAACTAATATGCTAAATTACAAGGTAATTGCCAATATAGCAGCAGACAATCAGCAGACAACATAGTAAATAGCCCTGGACATGTGCAAGATTGTTGCCATTCTTACATGTATTTTACTAGTATTTTATTTACTTGATACTGCAAAATGGGGTGCAGTATATATCCTTTTCCAGAGGTAACAGAAATATGATAGGGACTGTGGGTGTGTGTGTTCCCTCGCCTCCCTGTGTCCAGTTATGATCACCAGTACCTCTGCCTTG